AGCCATTTTTCACCCTCTGGAGGGTGAAAAATGGCTGAAAATCAAGGCCAAAAATCAGCTGGCCAGCAGGCCTATGCGCACTGGAGCTGACAGGGCAATGCCCCGCATGCCCTCAGAATCGGCTCTGTGTGCCACAGGTTCGCCCTCACGGCTCTATAGTGTCATTTTGAGGGCAGAAGTTGAAACAATTTATGTCCAGGATGTGAGGGGTCTGTGGATATTTTCCCGGCCCTCTTTTTGACTTGTGCAGTGTGCAGATCCTCAGTGGAAGGCAGGATGGTAGCCATTGTTTTTTCTGCAGTTCTGATTCTCCTCTGACGTCTCTGTCTGTCTTATTGGGTTGCAGAACCAAACCAGACAGTTATGGGAGTGCAGATGACAGATTGATCACTTGCTTCCTATCTCTCTCATTCTTTGATTTCTAAATTCTCCATGGCAGAAGTTTACCATCAAACCCTTCCCTTCTCTGTAGAAACAGCAAGCAAATCTCTCATTCTCTTCGTCCAATCACCGTGGTACCCACAACAACACCAGGGATGCCAATTGCTAATTTTAAAAAAATACATATATTTTTTACAAATGCCACTTGGAGACGTTCTCGGGGCCAGGAAGTCACAGATATATTTTTTCCTCCACACATTCGGAGAAAGCCATCTATGCGTTTTTCAACACATTCTCAGATGCAGCCCGCTAATGAGTCCATTAACGGGGAATTCATTGACACATCACCATGGATGCCATTTGATTAATTACGCCAGCTCCCCACTCTCACCGTGACTGAGGCAGAAGGAAGAGAGGTGCAAAATGAAGGACAAGAATCCTCGAGGAAAAAACTTGAATTAAGGCATTTGATCCAGGAAAGCAATATTTGCAATTAAGACGCAGGATCTGGATCTCGCGGTGACTAATGATTCTTTCGCAACTCGCTACAGCCGCATCAGTGGAGGTACACTTTAATTCAAGGACCATCTGCCACTGGAATGGGGGAATCAATCCATCCAGGTATTAAAGTTGGAAAAGGAACAGCCCGGTTTATAAGAGCGCATTGAAACGCGTGCCAAGCCAGGCTCCGTTGCAGCATGTGTTGTGGAATCAATAAACAAGATCCTTGACCTCCATCGCTCCTCAGAATAAAATAGAAGTCTGGACAAAACAATTGCAAAACATGCATCCAGAAAGAGGTCGACATTTTGAGGAGGACGCCTGCAAATAAAGACAAGTTGCCAAAACACTTGGGGATCTTTCTGCCTATGAGCGTAGATGTCAAGGTTCCGATAACGAGCCCAAGCCAATCAGAACTCCAAGGCTGGAATCTTCCTTAAAGAACTTCTTTATTGGGTACATCATATTGGCACACTTAAATGCAAAACCAACTCTAAATACTCCGTGGGGTTTCATTATAATTAAAATAGTAAATGATCCCCTCCCCAAGTGTCACTGGTCACATTGTCCAATTTAAGTTAATTGGCGGGCTCCTTAGGCACTCCCCTCCTCCTTCATCCAGCATCTGTGGAGATGACCTTGGTTCTCACGAAATAGATCGGTGTTCAGAATTGGGCCAAGCGAATGGCTGGTCAGAGTATGTGTGCATGCATGCAGCTCAACATGCGCCAGTGGTAGGCTGGCAGGCAGTTGTGATGTGTGTGCCAGTGTGTCCCTCATGCAAGTGGAGCTGCATGCATGCCAGGCCGCCACATGTGCAAAGGCTGGGTGTGTGCATGTGCACCAGCCCAGTTCCCCTTCCCCTACCTTTGCCAAGTCACCGAGCCACGAAGTTTGGGGACCGTTGGTCTATGGGTTTGTGAGAGTCAGACATGACTTAGTGACTGAACAACAACTTACATCAGATGTAGTTTTGTTTTTAAGAAAACTTATCCAGGAAATGTATATTAATGTATTTTAAATTAATGGGGAAAAGCAAAAATGGACAGAGAGAAAAATGTCCTGGAAGTGGGGGAGAGTTCCATTTTCCCAGGAAAAAGCACAGTAACTCATAAGTAAAGCAGCTATTTCATTTATTATAGATGATACTGCATCCAGTTTTGGTCACCAGAGTATAAAAAAGTTGTTGAGACTCTAGAAAGAGTGCAGAGAAGAGCAACCAGGATAATGGGACTGAAGGCCAAAACATTTGATGGATGGTTGCAGGAACTGGGCATGGCTAGTCTAGTGAAGAGAAGGACCAGGGGAGACAGGATAGAAGCCTTCCAATATTTGAGGGGCTGCCACAGAGAGGAGAGGGTCAATCTATTCTCCAAAGCACCCGAAGGCCAGACAAGGAATAATGGATGGAAACTGACCAAGGAGAGATTCAACCTGGAAATAAGGAGGAATTTTCTGACAGTGAGAACAATCAACCGATGGAACAGAAGTTGCCTTCGGAACTTGTGGGAGCTTCATCACTGGAGGCTTTCAAGAGGAGACTGGACTGTTAGAAATGGTGTAAGGTCTCCTGCTTGGGGAGGGGGTTGGACTAGATGACCTACAAGGTCTCTTCCAACTCTGTTAATATGTATGTCATTGATATTCTAGAGTAGGGTTTTTCAAATTGGATCACTTTAAAATGTGTGGACTTGAAATCCCAGAATTGCCCAACCAGCAAGGACTGGCTTCCAGAACCCCCCAGTCACTATGCCTTGTTTTGTTTGGCTGCTCTAGGAACATCTCTGTAGAAGACATTCAGGGAGATGCTTCCTACAAAGTCAAACATCTCTGTAGCTCCAATGCTGTTTGGTTTAAGATGTTCCCATGACACATTAAGTTTAACATCTTAATCAGGCGCTGTGGCGCAGTGGTTAGAGTGCACAGTAGGCGTGAGGTTAAATGGACTCCAGAGGATGGTAGAGGATAGGAAGGCCTGGAGGAACATTGTCCATGGGGTCATGGACAATAACAACAACTGCAAGCTATGTCTGCTGATCACTGGCTGCCAGCAGTTTGGCAGATCGAATCTCACCTGAGTCAACCAGGTTGACTCAGCCTTCCATCATTCCAAGGTTGGTAAAATGAGGACGCAGATTGTTGGGAGCAATATGCTGACTCTGTAACCGCTTAGAGAGGGCTGGAAAGCACTATGGAGGTGCTATATAAGGGCTATTGCTGGTGCTCTTCATTCATTCATTCATTCCTTCCCACAATAGTTAGAATTCAGTATTACAGGCTAACTCTACTCAGTGCCAGCAGTTCGGTTCTCACTGGCTCAGGGCTGACTCAGCCTTCTATCCTTCCAAGGTGGGCAAAATGAAGACCCAGATTGTTGGGGGAAAGAGGCTGACTCTGTAAACTGCTTAGAGAGGGCTGGAAAGCACTGTGAAGCAGTCTATAAGTGTAAGCGCTATTGCCTACTGCTAAGCTTAACCCAGCTAAGCACATCATCTGAATGCAGAGGCTACACAATAGCTTTGAATCTTAGCTAGCACAAAATGCCCACTTGGATCCTTGGTCCCTCCACTTTGAAGGATGAGGGAAGAGTTGACAAGATGCTGGAGACATGAATGGCTTCCTCCATCGATCCTATCCGGGTCCTGCTACTCTGATCAATAGGCGCGCATTAACTTCACAGGCAGTGAAATCCACCTTTTGAGTTCCTTTCAGACACACTCCCTGCAATCTGCATATCATCATCCCCTCCCCCCACTATGCAGAAATGATTTCCAAAGGATTGAAACATCTGGCTCCAGGCTGCGGATAAATAGGGATGAGCTTTGAAAAGAAGAAGGGTACAAGAAAGGGAAGCTAGGCATTCTTCCCTCCGCATCTCGGAGGATACGAACCAGATGTTTTGGGTCTCTTTCGCTCTCCTCCGCCCCCTTCCCCCCTCCACCTTAAATGCATTATGTTCATCAGGACTTAGGGAGTTTATCCCTTCCCAGCTGACATCTGGTGCCGAGAGGATAGGGGTTTTCTTTAAAAAGAAGAGGAAGAATGCAAACAAGGAAATGCATCGCTATCAGCGGGATTGTTGTTCTCCCGTTTTAATAGTAGTGGCAGCACAATAAAGAAGTTAGATCTGCATTTCTGTAAAATATTAATATGGTTCATTATCCAGGCATCCAGAAAGCACCATGTTTACTCTCCTAGCAGGTTGGTTTCCTTCCTTCTTTCCTCTTTCTCCCTTTCTCCTTCCCTTCTTCCCTTCCATCCTTCTCTTTCTCCCTTCCTTCCTTCCCCTTCCTTCCTTCCTCTTTCTCCCTTTCTCCATTCTTCTTTTCCTTCATCCTTCTTTTTCTCGCTTCCTTCCTCTTCTTTCTTTCCTTCCTTTCTCCCATTCTCCTTTCTCTTTCTCCCTTTCTCCTTCCTTCTTTCCTTCCTTCTGTCCTTGTCTTTTTCTCTCTTCCTTCCTTCCTCCCTTTCTCCTTCCTTCTTTCTCCCTTTCTCCTTCCCTTCTTTCCTTCCTTCCATCCTTCTCTTTCTTCTTTCCTTCCTTCCCCTTCTTTCCTTCATTCCTTCCTCTTTCTCCTTTTCTCCTTCCTTCTTTCCTTCCTTCCCCTTCCTTCTTTCTTCTTTCTCCATTTCTCCATCCTCTTTCTTCCTTTCCCCTTCCTCCTTTCTTCCATCCTTCTCTTTCTCCTCCCTCCCTCCCCCTTCCTTTCTCTCCCAATCTCACCATCCTCCCTCCCTCTGTTTCTTTCTTTCTTTCTTTCTCCCTCCCTCCCTTTCTTCCTTTGTTCTCCGCCCCCTCCCTCATACACAAGTGGCACAGGGAGATAAGTAGTAAAAATTGAAAGATTATGTAGTTCTGAATTTGACTCCACATGAAAATAGGAAAAAGATTGCGTATGACTCATCATCTCTTTGAAATGAAGTTCACGGAAGTAGTTCTACCTATGTTACAAGGCGCTCTCCAGGCAGCCTGCTTTCCCCTGCGAACAATCAGGTAAGGTTTCATGCCTCTGGAGGCTTATGCCTCTTATGGCTGCTCAAGAACTCCAGGCTAGGTCCCCACTTGACCCCTCCTTCCAGCCTGGTTGGCAATTTCCCAAGAGGATCCAACAAAGGTAAGGAAAGGGAGATGTTGTTAGAAAGAACTTCCTTAAAATGCAGAGGTCTTTCTAAAGCTTTCAGGGTTAAGATGGGGGAGCATCCAGAAAAGAGACTATCATTAAAGAAGAGACAAGCTGGGCAAGGATTCAAACCAGTTAGGAAGACGGATAATCTGAACAGCAGCACTTTGAACAGCATGCAAGTCGGGCTTTGAGATGCTGGAATCAAGTATCATGTCATTTCAGTAGGCTGACAGATTGTTTTCTCAAACAAACAAACACAGCCTTGATCTCCAGATCTAGGAGAGAGGAAAAAAGAGAAAGAGGGAGGGAGAAGAGAGAAATGGGGGAGAAAAAAAAAACCTGTGGTGGAATTAGAAATGAATGCAAAGACTTTACAAAGTAGTCAAGTCTAAATATTCTTTTTGGTGTCTTGATCTGGGCAGGTTGGACATTTCAGAGGCCTGGAATGGATCCATCTGTCCCAAGATAAAATTTAAGGTAAGGTAAAGGTTCCCCTCGCACATATGTGCTAGTCGTTCCTGACTCTAGGGGGNGATAGATGATAGATAGATAGAAGATAGATAGATAGATAGATAGATAGATAGATAGATAGATAGATAGATAGATAGATAGATAGATAGATAGATAGTCAAACTGAAGCTATCCATTTTGGAATGTGTATTGACTCTTCCCTAACTCGCTGCCTGTGAGATTCTTGGTGCTCATTGAGCTTGGTTGTTTTCTTGCAGACATTTCATTACCCAACTAGGAAACATCATCAATGGCAACGTTGCCAATATTCATGATGATGATAGCACCCCCTGCTAATTATATTTAAAAGCAGGAGAGAAGGTGGGTGTTCTCCATGAAGGTTCTAGAGATAGTGACACACATCATCCAGTGGTTGGTTACGCAAATTGTTGATTTGTAAGGCAGTTTTAGCCTTTGATAGCCACCTGACCAAACCATTCCTGGGATCTTTCCAGTTTCAAGGGGCAGCCTTACCTTGAGGACATCTTCATCAGCTGATTTGCATTCAGTGGAACGGGAGATGTCTCTGATGGAGCCGTCTTCTTCAACCGCAACCACTTTCACAGGGATGGACACTGGCTTGCCCGTCAGAATGGCTGTGTTGAGGACCTCTGTATCCTGTTCAGGCACACAACAAAGAAGACAATAAAGGTCCATAACAAAGGCACCATCAGAAGAGTCAGATGAAGCAGGGACATAGTTAAGGCCCCCTCTATCCAATTTTCATCCTCACAATAATCTTGTAGAACACCTACTGTTCATAACGAAGGTGAGATTCAATCTCAGTATCTTCTGGTAGAAACCATAAAGACCTGGGAGAAGATTCCGGCAAGACCTTTGCTAAGTCCAGCAGGGCCCTCAACAAACTGGGAGACTCAACACCTCCAGAAAGTTGTCTATCATAGAAGGAGTGGTGGGATGTTTTTTTAAAAGACTCTGTTGTACCACCATCAATATGTTGTGCCAGAAACAGGAACTGCCACATTTTTCAGAATATAAGGTGCACCTTTTTTCCTTAAAAAAGAGGGTGAAAATCTGGTGCATCTTATACACTGAATACAGCATTTTTGGCCTCCCAAAACCCCACCCGCTTCATATAAATGGCTGTGAATAGCTTTTAGAGGCTTCCAGAGTGCTCCTGGGGGCTGGAGAGGACAGAAATGAGCAAAAAACAGACTGTTTTCGGTTGGTTTTTGCCCCCCAGCCCCCAGGAGCACTCTACAAGCCTCCTAAAGGCTATGCATGCACTTTTTTTGACAAAAAAATAAAAAATGGGCTGTTTTGTGGAGGTCTGCGTTGTGCAAAAACTTTTTTTTTAATTTGCTTCTTCAAAATCTTGGTGCATCTTATAATCCGAAAAATACGGTAGGTGTTCAAAGTAACTGCCCACAACTCTGCATCCTTCCATTGAGCTAGACTATAATCCTTTTAAGTTTCATCTCAGAAATGGTCTTTCCTGTGCCATATTTCCACCACCCTGTCAAGCCTGAAGCTGACCTGGCTGTGAGCGACCCCTTCTCATTGGGGCTTTTGTTTCTATTGGGATTTATTCTCACATGGCTTCAGGTTGACTACTGTGGCCAACCAGCATCCAGCAGAGCTGGCAGCAGAGTCGGACAGTGAGGAGGTTGGAGAGGAACATGGGCCAGTCCTGGAGGCTGGGGAAGGCTCGGACAAGGGCTCTGCATCAGAGGCAGAGACAGGGCCGAGGCCATCTGGCAGTGATCAGGTGCCTACGGAGCTAGACAGCAGTGAAGCAGAGGAACAGCTGGAGCCTGTTCCCAGTGTGCGCATGTGCAGATCTGCCAGAAGAAAAGAACAACTCAGAAATCAAGGTAGNGGAACCACTTGCACTTCAGTTTGAGATGCGGGCAACACCGACTCATTCACAATATCCTCTGCCTGTCTTCAACAATGAAGGGACACAGGACAGAAAACATCCTGCGGGAAGCACAGCTCCACAACACAGGAGTCCTTTCAGCAGTTCCAAGAAAGCTCCACACTCATTAGCACCACTCAGGAGATCTTGTGGACAAAGATAAACCTCCAGGTGGCCTCAATGGCCCTCTAAATGGATGCAAATGACCAGCTGTCTGCAAGGAGCATAAATTTTTCCTTTCCCCGACATCCAGTCAGAGTTGAAGAAGCTTCTTGGATGAGAAGCAAAACATCTTCAAAAGAAAACAAGAAAATCCAGTTGCCTTTTGAAAAAGCACCTTTGGGATAACTATGACCTTGATGACTAAGAATCTCTACAGAGTTTTAGCTATACTAAAGTAAAGGGTTAACATAAAATGTAAAGTTAAGCCGGACAAGAATGCCCCATTGAATACCTTATCTACCTGACTAGATCTAGGTAGGAAATTGGTAAGATTCTATCCTCATTAGGCAATCAAGATATCCTATCACTAGGGTTAATGTGTACAAAGCATACGTGACATGGGAAGAATGTGTATTTAGGAGAATGATCAATATCCTGTCTGATAAAGTATAAAAACCTGTAACAAACTGCCCTTTGGGGTTCGGATTCTGCTTGAGCTATTGCTGCTGAACCTTACGCAATAAACCTTTCTCTTTGACAAAGAGCTGGTCTGGTCTCATTTCTGCAACAACACAATTTGGGATGAACACCCTTGGAATGGTGCAGGACTGTGAACAGATTTCAAGAAAAAGTGGAGACTACAGGAACTATTTGCACCACTCAGCTGACCCTGAGGACACAGATAAACCTCCAAGTAGCCTCAAGGACCCTCTAAAAGGAGGCAAATGACCAGCTCTCTGCAAGGAGCATAAATCCTTCCATTCCCCACCATTCAATCAGAACTGAAGAAGCTTCTTGGATGAGAAGCGAAACACCTTCAAAGAAAAAAAACAAGAAAGTCCAGTTGCCTCTTGAAAAAAGCACCTTTGGGACAACCATGACCTGGATGGCAGAGCATCTCCATAGACAAACCAGCAGGGATTTTTAATAGAATTTATTTGAACCTGAAATGGGCTGGAGATGAAATCCATAAATCCAAACTTTGCAGAAGACATGTCCCACGAGTGAGTGAGAAATCACAGTGATATTGTTCCAACATTCTATTTTTCCATAAAAATGCACACTTTGAACATGGGTTTTTCCTCTCGTCAGAAGGGAGCAGACTTGCTCTGTCCTATGCTAGTAATGACCTCTCTGCTTATCCCTCATTCTTCCTCTGAACGGGGCTAGATTAGTGCTTCACTGGCCTCTTCTTAATTACAACTGTAACCCACTAATGATATTGCTTTGTTGTCTGAAGGCACCTACTTCGGATTCAGCCTGGGCTCCATTAAAATTTAATACAACAGCAGGTCACAACAGAATGAGGAAGCCAATGACAGCTGCTTAATTAAAACCTAAAACTGATTAGACCACCGAGAAGAAAACTCTACAGGAAGAATTGGAAACTAGAGAGAGCCGCAGCAGGGAATAATGGCTTTATTTAAGCCTTTATGGGCACCTGAAGATGAACTGACTGTCAGGTGGCTGCTGTGGTCAATTGGGGCCAGGAGGTTCCCCCCTAAAAGCTTTGCTCAAAATCCAAATTTTGATCGCTTCTCTTCTTCTCCATTAACACAATGGATGGATCAGCCAAGAGTCGGGATTATCCACAGTATTTAAACAGGATATTAATGAAGCTACTCTATTAAATCAGCAAGTGTGGCACCAGGCCCAAGTAATTAGGCTTTATGGAGTGTTGATGGACAAAAGGGATTCTGCAGTAGCCGTCCCAACAACAGGTGGAGACTTTGCACAAAGTTTGCCAGGTGGACTACAACGTAACTCACAACAACCAAGATTAGCCTGGTTGTACAAGCAAATGTTGTACATGCAGAAGGACTAAGGGTCAAATCCTGATACCTCCTCCCAAAAACACTAGGAAGGAAACACTTCATCTAATAAGATTAGATTAGATTAGATTAGATTAGATTAGATTAGATTAGATTAGATTAGATTAGATTAGATTAGATTAGATTAGATTAGATTAGATTAAGAGTTGGAAGGGACCTTGTAGGTCATCTAGTCCAAAACACACATACTGCCCAAGCAGGAAACTCTACATCATTTCTGACATGGCATTTCTCCAGTCTATTCTTGAAAGTCTCAAGTGATGGAGCTCACACAACTTCCGAAGGCAACTTCTGGTCCATTGATTGATTGTTCTAATTGTCAGAAAGTTCCTCCTTATTTCTATAGATATTTCTATATCTCCTTATTCAGTTTCCATCCATGATTCCTTGTGTGGCCTTCAGGTGCTTTGGAAAATAGCTGGACTCCCTCCTCTCTGAGGCAGCCCCTCAAATATTGGAAGACTGCTATCCTGTCTCCCCTGGTCCTTCTCTTCACTAGACCAGCCATGCCCAGTTCCTGCAACCATCCATCAAATGTTTGAGCCTCCAGTCCCCTCATCATCCTGGTTGCTCTTCTCTGCACTCTTTCTAGAGTCTCAACATCTTTTTATAGTGTGGTGACCAAAACTGGATGCAGTACTCTAGGTGTGGTCTTACTAAAGCTTTATAGAGTGGTATTAGTATCTCCCTTGATCTTGATTGTATGGTGGTTGGGTCTGATCCACGAGTTGGAATGTGTTACTAGACACAACACAGAGTTTTCTCCTGAGAACCAAGGCCATGTCTACTGGAAACGGATAAGGTGTGAGAAGGAGTGCCTGGAGAGTCCGCCAGTTAACCCAATTGGCCAACATGATCTGTGACAATTGGGGATGGGATTACTTCATAGTTTATG